TCTGCTCAAAATTTGTTCAGTTTTACATCAGAATTTCCTCTAGATTTTTATGTTAAAAATTATATCCAAAGAAGATTAAATACAATGATTTCGACGGACTTAGGCTCTTCACTTTTTTATGGGACAATTTTCACAAAAGGAAAAACGATCACCTTGGACACTTTTTTGTGCACGTCGTGTCAGACAATTGATTGATCGACACGAATCGTGTCTCTTGAAGTGGCTGTCTTTTATGGACGAGTAGTGATACATAATAACAGCAAATGAAGTGACTATATATTAATCCTACCTCTCTTCTGTTTTTTCTCTCTTTTCTTTTTTTCCTTTTTCGATTCTTTCGTTCCTTTCTTTAATTGTTCTCACATATTTTTCGCTCTTTCTCCCTTGTTTGTTTATTCTTGTTCTACTCATGCGTTTGAACTGCTGCTTATCAAATATCTTGCTCTGTTTCTGCTCTCTTCCTTATTATTATTATTATTATTATTATTATAGTCCCTTATAGTCCCTTATAGTCTCTTATTTCACCTTTCATATCCCTACAAGTATGATGTAAAAAACAGTGTATTAACATCAGCAAAGCAGTTGTAACTCCTTGCTTCAGAGTACTAGACTCAGCTTAAAGTTCATCCATTTATATCCTTATCATGTAAGCACTTCCGAGTGTGACATGCAAGAGCTTAATAAAAACAAAAATTAATTATGATCAGCACAAATTTCATTCTATATGATAGGACAATCAAGAGATATTGATTAACAGTAAAGAAACAATATTTCTCGACATGTCACAATACCCATGCTACTTGATATTGAACGATATTTAATGTTAATTGTTGTTAATACCAATATTAGTCAACGCCAATATTTCAATACCACATTGGTATTGTCACATGCCAAAATACTTCAATCGATCAATAGAAAATAGAATTCTATTTTCCATGATATTCTTTACAAAAATGCAAGTCGTATTAAAAAATGTAATCTCAACAATAGCAATTTTAATAACGCTACATCCATTTTTCCAGGATCTGGATGTTATTGAATATTTACCGGGAACGCAATCTGTTGATAGACATAAGCTGGATAATACTATGAAAACTCATTCACATTGGCACAATTATTTTACATAGCACATCCGCGTAAAGAAAAAAACATCCAAGGAGATAAAGATAGAGATGCGCAGATCAAGTCAGTCTCGACTTGCGTCGATAAATTGCTGATTTGCTCATTTCTTGAGAAAAGTGAATTTATTCAAATTAAGGTTGTTTAGGCATGTTTTCAATGCATTAGAACATCAGATGCGACAAAATAAATATTTGCTCTTGTAGATTTTAAAAGAAAAGACAAAATGTCTTCGACTAACGGATTAACGAGTTCAATAACAATTTATGGTGGTCTTCCCATATTTATATGTGGTACTTTGGGAAATTTACTTAATATTCGTCTTCTTTGGCGAACTCGTCGTAATCCATGTGCATTTATATTTTT